CATTCACTCCATACAGCTGTTTCAACCGCTGTATGGAGGGAATGTCATAGAACTGTCAGAAATAGACTATTAATGACAGTTCTGGGACTGTCCTTCCATACAGCGGTTGAAACATTGTATCTATTTGTTTCCATAAATGGATCCATTTATGGAAACAAATACATACAATGTTTCAACCGCTGCATGGAAGGACAGTCCCAGAACTGTCATAAATAGTCTATTTCTGACAGTTCCATGACATTCCCTCCATACAGCGGTTGAAACAGCTGTATGGAGTGAATGTCCCAGAACTGTCAGAAATAGACAGAAACTGTCACAGAACTGTCCTTCTTCTCATCCTTCTCCTTCTTCTCATCCTTCTTCTTCTTCTCATCCTTCTTCTCATCCTTCTTCTCATCCTTCTCCTTCTTCTCATCCTTCTCCTTCTTCTCATCCTTCTCCTTCTCCTTCTTCTCATCCTTCTCCTTCTCCTTCTTCTCTCCTTCTTCTCATCCTTCTCCTTCTCCTTCTTCTCATATCCTTCTCTTCTTCTCATCCTTCCTTCTCCTTCTTCTCATCCTTCTCCTTCTCCTTCTTCTCATCCTTCTCCTTTTTTCCTTCTTCTCATCCTTCTCCTTCTCCTTCTTCTCATCCTTCTCCTTCTCTCCTTCTTCTCATCCTTCTCCTTCTCCATCTTCTCATCCTTCTCCTTCTTCTCATCCTTCTCTTCTTCTCCTTCTTCTCATCCTTCTCCCTTCTCCATCTTCTCATCCTTCTCCTTTTCCTTCTTCTCATCCTTCTCCTTCTGCTTCTCATCTTCTCCTTCTTCTCATCCTTCTCCTTCTTCTCATCCTTCTCCTTCTTCTCATCCTTCTCCTTCTCCTTCTTCTCATCCTTCTCCTTCTTCTCATCCTTCTCCTTCTTCTCATCCTTCTCCTTCTTCTCATCCTTCTCCTTCTCCTCATCCTTCTCCTTCTTCTCATCCTTCTCCTTCTCCTTCTTCTCATCCTTCTCCTTCTCCTTCTTCTCATCCTTCTCCTTCTCCATCTTCTCATCCTTCTCCTTCTCCTTCTTCTCATCCTTCTTCTTCTTCTCATCCTTCTCCTTCTCCTTCTTCTCATCCTTCTCCTTCTTCTCATCCTTCTCCTTCTCCTCATCCTTCTCCTTCTCCTTCTTCTCATCCTTCTCCTTCTCCTTCTTCTCATCCTTCTCCTTCTCCTGCTTCTCATCCTTCTCCTTCTCCTTCTTCTCATCCTTCTCCTTCTTCTTCTTCTCATCCTTCTCCTTCTCCTTCTTCTCATCCTTCTCCTTCTTCTCATCCTTCTCCTTCTCCTCATCCTTCTCCTTCTCCTTCTTCTCATCCTTCTCCTTCTCCTTCTTCTCATCCTTCTCCTTCTTCTCATCCTTCTCCTTCTCCTCATCCTTCTCCTTCTCCTTCTTCTCATCCTTCTCCTTCTCCTTCTTCTCATCCTTCTCCTTCTCCTTCTTCTCATCCTTCTCCTTCTCCTTCTTCTCATCCTTCTCATCCTTCTCCTTCTCCTTCTCATCCTTCTCCTTCTCCTTCTCATCTCATCCTTCTCCTTCTCCTTCTTCTCATCCTTCTCCTTCTCCTTCTCCTTCTCTTTCCTCATCTCCAAGGGCATTTAAATTAAAGGTACAGTGTTCTGCACTAATTTAAAGGCTCTCTGAAGCCTAGAAACCCTTTTTATAAGTCATCTTCGTAGCGAAGAAATTCGCATCGAATCGAATTTCACACTGGAATTCGCCGAATCAGCCGAATCGAATTTTTGAGAAATTCGCTCATCTCTACTTGTCATTATAATATATAACAAAGTAAAACCTACTGTATCTTTTTTTTTCTTTTTTTTTAGAATAAAGAAGTCTTCCTTTCGGAAAAAAAAATAATCAAAAACCTTTTTCCTAATTTGGTTTGTAAAAAAAAAAAAATAAGTAAATAAATGTGTTTTTTGTAGTTAACCGCTTTCCCGTCCGCCGTATAGCAGATGTACTGCTACAGGGCGGCAGGGGTGCGCAAAATCACGTGTCTATATACGTGATTTTGCATTTCCGGGGTGCCCTACCCACGCCGCTATTCGCGGCCTCGGCTGTCAATCATCGGGTCCCGGCCGGTGATTACTCGCCGGCACCCGATGATCACGGAGCATTACCGACAGAGGGAGAGAACTTTTGTGTATAAGCAATACAGATCTCTCCCCTGTCAGCTCCTGCACACTGCTTTGTATGGCTCTGCATAGCAGCATGCTCACAGTGAAACACACACAGCACACAGTTAACCCTTTGATGGTTGCTGGATCTGCCTCTGTAGGACTGTGATCCTCTGCACAGCAGAACGCAGATTGGGGGAGGGAAGGCCGGCATTGGGAGCTGGCAGGAGGAGAGAGCAGAGAGAAGAGCCCCATTCAGGGGCGGGTCTCTGACCAAACTGTATTACCTATTTGAACAGAGACAAGTGAGGTCACTAACCAATTTATTCTTTCTGGCAGATCTGTCTGACTCAAACGACTGGCTGAGAAACATTAAGAAATACTTGCCAGGTAAAGCAAACCACGCATACGCAGTTCATCACACTTGCTGAGAGCTCGGCTTGTACAGCGCCCCCCCCAGGACAGAAATATAAGATGTGCCATTGCGCCTGAACTCCACCCTTGCTGCACTCCTGTGAGGGATCGGTAGGGATGGGCAGATCTGCGTGGCTACACTCAGACTTTATATATTTAAAGATGTATTTACAGTGAAACCAAAAAAGATAAAAGCCAACCCAAAGCAAATGACAAAATACCTACCTGGGAACCGAGTTAACCCCTTCCTGCCCGCCGTTTAGTCATTAACCCCTCGCCCTCCTGAGGATTTACCCCCCTTAATGACCACGCCTCTTTTTGCTACTCGGCGCTGCACTAATTCAACTGATAATTGCGCGGTCATGCAACGCTGCACCCAAACGAAATTTACGTCCTTTTTTTCACACAAATAGAGCTTTCTTTCGGTGGTATTTGATCACCTGTGCGCTTTTTATTTTTCACGCTATAAACAAAAAAAGGCCAAAAATTTTGAAGAATAATATTTTTTACTTTCAGCTATAAAAAATATATAGTAAACTCAAAGCTGGTTATAAATTTAGGCCAAAATGTATTCTGCTCCATGTTTTTGGTAAAAAAAATCCCAATGAGTGTATATTGATTGCTTTGTGTGACAGTTATAGCGTCTACAAACTATGGGATAGATTTTGCAATTTACGCCATTTTTTTGCTATACAGCACTGCGCTAGTTTAACGGACAATTGCGCGGTCATGCAATACGGTACATAAATGAAATTTACATCCTTTTTTTCCCACAAATTGAGCTTTCTTTCGGTGGTATTTCATCGCCTGTGCAGTTTTTTTTTTTGCGCTATAAAAAAAAAAGGCTGACAATTTTGAGGAAAAAAAAACAATATTTTGGACTTTTTGCTATTAAACATGTCCAGTAAAAAAAAATGCAAAAATCAAATTTAGTCATAAATTTCTGCCAAAATGCATTCTGCGGCATGTCTGCTAAAAAAAAACCCAATACGTGTAAATTAATTGGTTTACGTGAAAGTTATAGCGTTTACAAATGACTGGGATTTTTAGTTTTTTTTTTATACTAATAATGGTGGCGACCAGCGAATTATTGCAGGACTGTGGCGGACATTCTGACATTGAGGGGTACTGACTTGGGGTCACTGACATCCCCAAAAACACTAATACAGTGATCAGTGCAAAAAAAAAAAACACTGACACTGTACTAATGGCACTGGGGAGGAAGGGGTTAACTTTATTTTGCAGGGAAGGGTTATAGGAGTGAGGGGAGTGTTTTACTAGGGGGCGGGGCGGGGTTTGTACTGGGCGGGACAAGGCTGATCGAGAAAGAGAAACTGTTCTTTCTCGATCAGCTCATCCTCGAGCTGACAGGGAAGTGACAGACAGCACAGCTACTGCCATGAGATGCCCCTGGTACCTTTCATAGGCTTTTTTGGGTGTTGGTTGAGTAAGAGTGAGGACGCAGGGGCCCCATGATCCCCTATTGCCCGTGGCTCCAGTTCTCACAGTGTGTTCCTGCTTCAAGTCTGCTGGGAGCCCTGACGAACCACGTATCCAGAACCTGCGATCCATGTGGAGTTCCCCTTTAACCTCGGCTGGTCTGTCCTGCATTGTCTCTGTTCCTGACCTGATGTTCTGTCTGACTGACCTTCTGAGTCTACACCTCTGGGCAAAGGTTCTGCTATCAAAACTTGCCGGAACTCGTGTTCCTCCTGTCCCTTGGCACCTTCAGTGGGGCCTGGGCTAGAGATACAAGAGAGACCAAGGCCAACCTCACCAATTCAGTCTCCTACCACATACGTGACAGCCCCCCCCCACCCCCAAATTCCATGGCAGACCTTTATCTAAGCATGCAACTTGGCAAGCCAGGAAAGGAAATGGGGTAAGAGCTTGCACCTCCACCTCACCATACCAGATCATGTGCCTCGACATGGGGGGGGGGGGGATACAATGGGGGGGGGTAATCACAGATCAGGGGGATCAGTCACAGATGGGGTGCTGCTTTTGCGTGAGTGCTGCATTTGATGGAGTGCTAAGACGCAGTTAAACACAGCAGTTTAACTAAAGCAGGATAACTCAAGCAGCAGGAAGATACAACAAGAAACTCTACTGCACTCTGGACTGCAAGCAAACACCCCGGGAAACATCTCTTACAAGTCTGAGTCCCACTCCATCTACCTTTTAATATGTCCCCTCCACTGCTCCTTTTCATATTATTATCCTGCGTTCCCAAAATCTCACTTCTTTACCCCTCTGCTCCACCCCAAAACTTGTACATCTCACCCTCACTGCTACCATCTCCCTACTACTACTCTCATCACCTCCTGCTGATACTTCACTCTCCTGCTGACCCAAACACCAGGACTAGAAGGCATGTGCGCTCGTGCACATCCCGTTCCCATGTTACTTTCCTCACCCTTCTGCTTCTCCTAACCTCTGGGCATATCTCCCCAAACCCTGGTCCTCCAGTATCTCACCCCCACACCAGGCACCCTCTTTCTTCCGGGAATAGCCGCAATCCCCTCAATTTAATATCAGTCCCCGTGCTCCCAAAAACCACCCTCCCTTTTTTATGTGCGCTCTGGAATGGCCGCTCTGTCTGTAATAAGCTCACCTCTGTCCATGACCTTATTGTCTCCCGCTCCCTTAACCTACTAGCAATTACAGAAACCTGACTCCAAGCAGCAGATTCCCCCGCAGCACTTTCCTATGGAGGCCTCCTCTGGACCCACTCACCCAGACCCAGTGGTCAGAAAGGAGGTGGGATTGGTTTGCTTCTATCCCCACTGAGCACCTTTCAAGTCCCCCCTAACCCTCCCTCTCTATCCTTCTCTTCTTTCCAGACTCACTGCATCCGGCTGTTCTCTCCCATTTCTCTGAGGATTGCAGTGATCTATCGGCCCCCTGGACCCGTGTCCCGCTTTCTTGATGATTTCTCCGCCTGGCTACCCTACTTTCTCTCCTCTGAAATACCCACTATCATCCTCGGAGATTTTAACATCCCTATTAATGTCAACAACCCGGCTACATCCCAACTCTTCAACCTGACCTCATCTTTTGCATTAGCACAATGTATACAGTCCTCCACTCACTCTGATGGGAATACATTAGACTTTGTTTTCTCCCATCTTTGCACTCCCTACAATCTCACAAACACCCCCTTTCCTCTCTCTGATCACAATCTCATCACCTTCACAGTGTCCTCATCTTCAAACACCTATCCCTCCAAGCAGCAAACAATTACCCGCAGAAACCTTCACAACTTGAACCCGGCTCCTTTCCACTCTGCAACTGACCAACTCTATGACAGAATCTCTCCCCTGTCCTGCCCTGACCTGGCCACTGCTGTCTATAACAATTCGCTTTCATCCACATTAGACTCACTTGCTCCTCTAACAACACGAAGCATCAGGTCCCGACCATTACAACCCTTGGCAGACTGACCACACCAGAAGTCTTAAACGACATAGTCGTGCAATGGAGCAATTGTGGCGTAAAACTAAATCTCACCAAGCATTCACCCGATATAAATCTGCTTTCTTAACATACAGTTCCTCCCTTCATGCTGCCAAACAAGCCTACTTTGTCACTCTTATTAATAGCTTGTCATCCAGTCCTCATTGTCTCTTCTCTACTTTTAACTCTCTACTTTCTCCACCTCCACCTCCACCCAGTACCTCACTCACTCACTGCTCACGAGATTGCAAATCATTTCAAAAACAAGTTTGATGCAATTCGTAGGGGCATCTCCACTGCACAGCTATCCACCCCACTCAGCATTCCTTATACTAAACCTCCCACAACACTTTCCTCTTCTGACCTCGCTACTACCAAAGAGGTCACTAAGGTTTTCTCAGAAGCCCGTCTCACTACCTGCCCCCTGGATCCGGTCCCTTCACAACTACTGTGCTCACCCTCTTCTTCCATCCTATGCTCCCTCACTCACATCTTCAATCTCTCCCTCTCTACTGGTGCCTTCTCCTCCCCTCTAAAGCACGCGCACATCACTCCCATACTTAAAAAGCCCTCCCTGCACCCCACCAACCTGAACAACTTAAGACCCATCTCCCTGCTGCCATTTACCTCTAAACTCCTGGAACGCTTAGTCTACAATCGCCTGAGCTCCCACCTCACCAACAATGACCTTCCTGACCCTTTACAGTCTGGCTTTCGCTCTCTACACTCCACTGAAACTGCCCTACTAAACCTCACTAATGATCTACTAACTGCTAAAACCAATGGCCACTACTCCGTACACATCCCAACCAATGGCCACTACTCCGTACTCATCCCAACCAATGGCCACTACTCCGTACTCATCCCAACCAATGGCCACTACTCCGTACTCATCCCAACCAATGGCCACTACTCCGTACTCATCCCAACCAATGGCCACTACTCTGTACTCATACAACCAATGGCCACTACTCCATACTCATCCCAACCAATGGCCACTACTCCGTACTCTTACTATTTGACCTCTCTGCTGCTTTTGATACAGTTGACCATCCCCTCCTCCTCAAAAAACTCCACTCTCTTGGCCTCAGAGACTCCACTCTCTCCTGGTTCTCCTCCTACCTAGCGCAGCGCTCCTTCAGTGTTACCTATAACGCTGCCTCCTCCTCTTCACTCCCTATTTCTGTAGGGGTACCTCAAGGTTCTGTCCTTGGACCCCTTCTCTTCTCCATCTACACCTCCTCCCTTGGTCACTTGATAAACTCCCATGGCTTTAAGTACCATCTCTATGCTGATGACACACAAATCTATCTCTCTACCCCTCACCTCACCCCTTCAGTCTCCTCTCTCATTACTAACCTACTAAGTGACATATCAGCATGGATGTCACTCCACTTCCTCAAACTCAATCTTTCCAAAACTGAGAACTTAGTATTCCCCCCAGCCTGTGCCCCCTCCCCTGACTTCTCCATCAAGATCAATAATA